GAAACCCAAGGAGGGGTCGCTATGGGTCGGGTCCGACTCGACGGCACACAACAACAACAACAACAACAACATATATATTACAACAACAGTTAAAAAAGTGAGAAGGAGATAAGGATATGTGAAAATATAGAGAAAATTTGAAGTGGAGATAGGGTAAGTGAGGAGAGTTTATTCATGAAGGCTTTTATCCTAGCAAAGTAAGAGAGGAAGCTATCTTTTAAGAGTAAGGGCTAAAAATGTGGGCAAAGTAGAAAAGATTAGGGAGAGCTGGTTTGAGGGATTAAATAGATGACTGATAATGTTGTTAAGAATTATTGGCACCTGGGACACAAACATTAAGTTGTATTGCTCTCGATTGGCATAACTCATTACTTTCTCTAATGAACTTCTAAGGTGGGGTACACTGGAAGTTGGTAAAGTAGGTAATTCAGATTTGGGAACTGGTAAGTAGGGTTTGGCGGAAGACAAAACTGTGTAATAAAACATCATTATTTAGCCACAATTTGGATTTTGAGAGAGTAATTTGTTAGGGAGTTCTCTTTATAAAAAAAGCTCTGGTGATGCAGTGGTTAGAACATTCAGCTGCTAATCAAAAGGTTGGCAGTTTGAATCCACCAGCTGCTCTGCAGGAGAAGGATAAGGCAGTCTGCTTCCATAAACATTTATTGCCTTGGAAATCCTGTAGGGCAGTTCTACTCTGACCTACAGGGTTGCTATGAGTCAGAATTGACTCAGTGGCTGTGGGATTTTTGGTTTCTCTTACCAAATTTTTAAAGAAAGGTATGATTAAATGTGCCTTTAGGAAGACTAATCTGACAGTAATGAAAGGTGGAGTAGAATGGATAATAAGGCTAAAAGGCTAATAAGGTGACTTTTGAATTACTTTACTTTGTACAAAAAGTAAAAATACTTCACTATTCAGAATGACTGATCTTCCCACATTTGTCCAAACAAGTGATTTATTATCAATAAATTGAATGAGGATAAATATTTTATTCATATATTAATCAAACTCCATTATAATAAATTGTTGATTGTCCTAGTATTTACTTTATCAGACACCTTTTGAAATAAAGAGCTATTGGACAAAACCCAGAAGTCTTTTGGTTATAAAAGATGTTTAATATTGTTAACATAAAAAATCATATTAAATCAATATTAGAAATTGAAGTTTGTTTAATATATGTTTTGCAAATTGAGGTAACATTTGACTAGGGAGTAAAAAATGTTCTGAAAATAAGAAAACCTCCAGAGATGACTTTTTTTATCCCTCCAGAGATTGTTATGCCCCATCTCATCAACATTGCCATGGAAAAGGCCAGGGAACAGTATTTACATAGTAATATTGTACCTTAAAACAAAACTTCCAATCAGACCCTGGAGTTCCTGTTTCTTGAAACTATCTACATCTACGTACAGATAATTCTTTAAAACAGTCCAGTGGCCAGGGCAAAATGGTCTCCACTGAGCTGCTTACTAGGCTATTGTGTGGCTTAAAAGTGACTTTAGGGAACTAGTTTCTTCAAGCCTCGAGGTTCAAAAGAATAGCAATGAACAAATGGATTGTGTGCGCCACCCCAACTCCATGGACTCCACAAATCTGGATTCCAGGAGAATTAAAATGGTTTCTCAATATACACACAACAGTGGCATTAAATTTATAGGACAAAAACCTAAAATATCATTGAGTAATGAGATTGTTTTGAAAATCAGTTTAATATATATTCATTAAAAAAATAATCTTTTAAAACTTTTGCAGGCACTCGGAGGCCTTGTAATAGCTGCTGTAATTAAATATGCAGATAATATTTTAAAAGGATTTGCAACCTCTTTGTCCATAATATTATCAACACTGATATCCTATTTTTGGTTAGAAGATTTTGTGCCAACCAGGTAAAATATTCTTTCCTATTTTTTTTTAATCTCTAAAAGTATATAGAAAAATAAAAATTGTAATTAAGATGATCGATAAATTTTGCTCTTAACAACTTTTGAAGACTCAGTGAAATTATGGATCCACTTAACTATCTTAAAAAGTTTCAAACTAAATAAATGAAAGAAAATATTCCATGGGGAAGTTCTGTAAGCAAATTTAGTTGTCTAGAATTTTCTCTGATCTGATATTTTCCCCCAAAAGTAAAAATTTGTGCAATAAATTGAAGGGGCCAGGCTTTGATTTCTTTATATGACTTATCGACATTTTTAATTGTACAACTATAGCCAGGAAAATAGATAACATTCTTGAAGAAGATTATTTATTTAGAGAAGGAGACTCATGAAAAATCTCATAATTAGGTGATGGTAGGAAGAAGAGCTGTTTGGAAAGGAATGACAAATAGAGTGATTAGTGAGGTAGGAAACCCAACTATGTGGTGTCATGGATGACAAGGGAGGAGACAGCACCAGGAAGAACTGAGTGTAATAAATACCCATTATAGGTGCTATTGAACACTTTTTAAAAAAATAACCATATTAATGTGTAATCCCAGAATAATGAGATTATTATATTTTAATGGTTTTCACTCTCCTCTTCTTCCCAACTTCTAAACTGGAGTCAGCCAATCATCTGTCCTCTTTTATCTGCACTCACCCTCTTGGTGATCTGTTTTCTCATACCTTTCAATACCATCTATATGCTAACTCTCAAATTTAAATCTGAATTTTGAGCTTCTATGTCTAATTGCCTACTTGACATTTTCACTTGAATGTCTGCTGGATAACTCATTCCCTGTCCTTGTCTCTTTTCTTAGTAAATGACAGCATGTCCATTTTTCCAGTTACTTAGGCCAGAATTCTTCTTGATTTAGTTATGAATGTAGTTTATCCATGTTGTTGTTGTTAGGTGCCATCAAGTCAGCTCTGACTCATAGCGACCCTATGTACAACAGAACGAAATACTGTCCAGTCCTGCACCAACCTCACAATCCTTGCTATACCTGAGCCTATTTTTGCAGCCACTGTGTCATTCCATCTCATTGAAGGCCTTCCCCTTTTTTGCTGATCCTTTTACCTCACATGATATCCTTCTCCAGGGAATGGTCGCTTCTGTTAACATGACCAAAGTAGGTGAGACGAAGTCTGGCCATTCTTGCTTCCAAGGAACATTCCTGCTGCACTTCTTCCAGGACAGATTTGTTAGTTCTTCTGGTAGTCCATGGTGCTTTCAGTATTTTTCAGTAACACAACTGAAAAGCATCAACTCTTCTTCAGTCTTCCTTACTCGTTGTCCAGCTTTCATATGCATATGAGGCTCTGGTGGCGGAGTGCCTAAGGCATTTGACTGCTAACCAGAAGGCTGGTGGTTCAGACCCACCAGCCACTCCTCAGAAGGAAGACTGGGCAATCTACTTCCATAGTGATACTGCCTCAGAAACCCAAGGAGGGGTCTCTATGAGTCAGATCCAACTTGATGGCAGTGAGTTTGGTTTTTGGTTTAGGTGCACCTTAGTCTTCAAAGAGACATCTTTGCTCTTAAGCACTTTAAAAGAGGTCTTTTGCAGCAGATTTGCCCAGTGCAGTATGTTGTCTGGTTTCTTGACTCCTGCTTCCATTGGTGTTGATTGTGGAACCAAGTAATATGAAATCTTTTGATAATTTCAGTCTTTTCTCCATTTATTGTGAAGCTGCTTATTGGTCCAGTTGTGAGGATTTTTGTTTTCTTTATGTTGAGATATAATCCATACTGCAGATGGTATGGTCTTTATTCTTCATCAGTAAGTGCTTCAAGTCGTGTTCACTTTCAGCAAGTGAGATTGTGTTGTCTGCATATTACAAGTTGTTAATGAGCCTTCCTTCAACTCTCATGCCACGTTCTTCTTCATATAGGTATTTTACTGGTATTTCAAATATTTCAAGAAAAGGCAGAGGCTATAACATGGGCTTAAAAATAACTTAAAATAGATACGTTTTTAAGAGGAGGTTAAAATGTGTGAAAATTCTGTTTTCTGAGTGAAATAAGAAGCAAGTCCATCAGCTTCTCTTATCTTTCTCTCACATCATTCTAATCTAGAAAAAAATCCTGTCAGTTCTTTCTGGTATCTCCAGAATCTGAGCTCTGGTAGCATAGTGACTAAGACACTTGCCTGCTAACCAGAGGGCTGGCGGTTCAAACCCACCAGCCACTCCTCGGAAGGAAGGTTGGTCAATCCTACTTCCGTAGTGATACTGCCTCGGAAACCCAAGGAGGGGTCGCTATGAGTCGGGTTTGACTCGATGGCACATAACAACAACAACAACCAGAATCTGTCCCTCTTTCACAACCTCTACTGATAGCACCCTGGTCCAGGCTACCTTCACTTCTCATCTGAGTTAAGGAAATGATCTCCTGACTTGTTTCCTTGCTTCTTTTCTTTGCCCTGTGCCCCCAGTCTTCTCTATTCAGCAACCAGGATGATCTTTTCAATGCAACTCAGATCATATCACTACTCTGCTCAGTTGTTATTGTTGTTGTTATGTGCTGTCAAGTCGGACCGACTCATAGCGACCCCTCTTTGGATTTCTGGGTCAGTGTCACTACGGAAGTCGATTGCCCAACCAGTCCTCTAATTGCTTCCCATCTCACTGAAAAGTTACTGTACCTATAATGGCCTACTGGATTTGGCCGTCACCTTCCTTTCTGTCATCTCACATTTAAAGAAAAATAAAAAAAGCCACAGTGACCTCCTTGTTGTTATTGTTGTTGTTATTTGCTGTGGAGTCAGACCTGACTCATAGCAACCCTTCCTTGGGTTTCCGAAGCAGTATCACTACAGGAGTAGATTGCTCAACCTTCCTTCCAAGTGACCTCCTTACTGTTCCTTAAACATGCCACCACCTCTAGGCTTTTATTTGCCCTTCCTTCTTTCTAGAACATTCATTGTACATATTCACATGGCATACTCCCTCACATTCTCAGGTCTTAGCTCAAATGTTACTTTATCAAGAAACTATCCTAATAAAAGAGCAGCCTCCTCCATTCCAATATTCACTCTCTTCCTTTTTTCAGAAGACTTACTAGATACAGTAATGAAATAGGTACTCAGTATGTTTGTTGAATCAACCTCCAGAACCTTAAAGTATTATGAGTCAGAATCTACTCACTGGCAATGGGTTTTAATAAAATTCATTGTATTATTGAAAATTTTTGGATTCTTCAGTAGAAGAATATACTTTTATTACTGTATTGAACATTGAATATACTTTTATTACTGTATTGAACATTTATGGTTTTGATCATTTAGCAGTTTGGACAATAGGTCTGGAACATGTGGAGATCTGTAATTTTTCTGAGGCATGAATTTGAAAGTATTTGTTTCCAACTTGTGGAAGTTAATCAGTTAGCTAGTGAAACTAGCCTCACAGCACAAACATATTAATGATGCTTTATTGCTGGTTCATTAGATGGAAAAATTATGTGCTGTAATGTTACCAGAGAATGTTTAGAACTTGCAGGTTTTTAGGGTATATTAAAAAAGTTATACCTTTTTTAAAATAAAAAAATAAAACCTCATATAATGCTGAGGGAGTTATTTATAAATCTTACAGGGAATAAACAAGAAAGTGAACAAGTAAATCAGAAGGGTAAGAGTAGTATTTTATCAATAAGTTATAAATCTTATTGAGATGTAAATTATGTAAATCCACTTTCTGAGGTACTAGGTAGGATATAGGTGCCCTGGTTGTAGTTAAGCACTAACTGCTAACCAGAAGGTTGGCAGTTCAAACCCACCAGCTTATCTATGGGGGAACGATGAAGCAGTTTGCTTCTGTAAAGATTTGTAGCCTTGGAAACCTATGAGGCGGTTCTACTTTGTCAGTGTAAGTCAGAGTTGACTCGATAGCAACGAGTTTTTAATAAGTGGGGTGTATTGTGATAAAGATAAAAAGAAAGAAGAAAAATACATTGTTATTATTAAATAATTGAAAGAATGAATGTTTTGAGAGTATGCCCAAGACACAGAGACAAATGGAAGAGATGGATTCTTTTTCCTAAAATAGATAACTGAGCTTACTTTGTGTATTCTTAATTTCATGAAGAACACCTTTTAAAAATAAATCCGGTTACCGTTCTCAGTCTTCATTCAGCTCTATACATCTGCCTTTGTCATCCCCATTCTACCTCCTGAAACTCTTATTTGGCTTTTCTACCATTCTGATTATTCCTTTTCAGTCTCCTTTGATAGCTTATCAAAGGATTCTCACTCCCTTGGCCAATTTGTCCACTGCCATGTCTTTTCTTTATGAAGATAAGACCCACTTTCATCTAAACTGATTCCTGTTTGTAACCTACTTCTGTATCTCTACTAATACCATATCACCTATATTCCCTTTCCTAACTATTTTTCTTGTGTTCTTTATCTTGTTTATTGGTATTACCATCCTTCCATTTAAAAACCAAAAAAAAAAAAAAACCAAACCCACTGCTGTCGAGTCAGATTGACTCCTAGCGACCCCTCCTTGGTTTTCCGAGGCAGTATCACTACAGAAGTAGATTTTCCAACCTTCATTCTGAGGAGTGGCTGGTGGATTTGAACTGCCAGACTTCTGGTTAGCAGTCAAATGCCTTAGACACTACACCACCAGAGCTCCCTCGTTCCATTTAGGATAGTTTTTTTTTTTTTCTTTTTAACCAAAAACTCAGTAAGTATCCATAGTTTATATGCCAATTACTGTGGTAGAGCCTAGAAAAACAGTAGTGAATGAATAGGACAGGCTTTTCAAAAGTTACCCTTTTGCATCAAGTCAACTCTAAATATCCTAACAGAAAATTAATGCAATCCCTATAGAGTCATATGTTGCTTAATGTCCATGATATGTTCTGTGATGAAATTGGCTGTTATGCAAGCAGACCCCAATTACAAATGAATTCCATTCCTAAGTCTGTCTTTAAGTTGAGTTTATACTCTAGTTGGAACGGTTAGGTATGGTTAGTATCTCTAACTTCAGTTAGTCAAACGTTTGTCTTAATATAGTATAGTATGTACCTTTCTGTGCTTAAAAAAAATATATTAATGTCCAGATACACTAAAACATCTTTAAATGCTATAAAAATAATAATGTTTTAATGAATGTCACACAGTAGCACCCATTTGTTGTTGTGAACCATTGTAGGTACCTCAAATTTTTAATATAATAGGCTTTGTGGGGGTTGGCACCATGGATGTAGGACGTTGCTCAAATAGACGTTATGTGGCACATGACTATATATACTAGGCACTAGGGTACAACAATGAATGGAGAAGTGCATGGTTGAGCAGGGAAGCAGACATGTAAATAATGCGTTATTTAATTCACAGTGATAAATGTTACAGAGTAACTACCTAGGGGAGTGAGTCTTGGAAGCATTAGACCTAAATTTTATGAATAAGTAATTTTGGGGGAAGAAAGTACATTGTGGGAATTGGGAATGACTGGATTATGGAGTGGCTGGGGTGGCATGTAGGAGATGAAGTTGGAGGGACTATATTATAAAGGATTTTTAATGTCATAGTAAGGATCTTTTTCCTGTAAAGAACTAATACTTTTTTAAAAAAGCATGAGTGACTTTGAACTGTTAATATAAACTTTAAAACCAAGACTAAGTCACGTCCCTGTAACAGTACTTTGAAGAATATACATGTTAAAAGTTAAGATTGGTATTCCAGTTTAAGTCCTATCTCCAGTTTAAGTTCATTTCCAGTTTATAATAAGGTATGCTACATCTGGAATCCCGGGGTTGCACAAACAGTGAAACACTTGGCTACTAACCAGAAGGTTCGGTGTTTGGGTCACTCAGAGGCATCTTGGGAGAAAAGCCTGGCAATCTATTTCTGAAAGATAGCAGCCACTGAAAACTCCACAAAGTGCTTTTCTGATCTTAAACACATGGGGTCATCATGAGTCGCAGTGGACTTGAAGGCAACTAGTTTTTTTTTTTTTTTTAATATGATATCTGTGGATAGATAAATAGGAAACCAATAACTCTGCATTTACTCTAATTCCTTTTCTAAAGCATCCTATAAAAATCATTGCTGAGGTTTGTTTATGATTTTCTTGGATTTTAAATTGAATTTTACCTTGATTGTGACATATTTTAAACAGTTAAGATCTTTTATTATTTATTGTACTGAAGGCTGAAGGCATGGTGAGGTGAAATGCAGCATTTAAAAATTAGTGGTCTGGTGGAGCCTGGTGGGACCCCCAATACTGTGGCCCTGGGATACACTTCAGGCCTGGAATAAAACTCACTCCCAGGGGCTGGCTCTCAGCCCAAAAGTAAATAAGATGTACACGCAGACCACACAACCCAGGGTAATGCACCCACATACTCTGTGGAGATGCATCCCTTGGAGCAGTTGACCATAGGGCACCAGAGGGGCATAATTCACAAAGAGGAAATGCAGGATACATGGGAGGGCATGGAAGGGAGGAGAGGGTTAGGGTTGGGGATTTAACTGGGGAATGAAACCAAATGTACATGAAATGTTCAATGCAAAACAAACTCTGCCCTGTAAACTTGCACCTAAAGCACAATGAAGTAAGTAAATTAATTCAGTTAAAACATCATTGCTTTGGGAGGCAATATAGTGCAGTGTGGATAAGAATGTAGGTCAGACATCCTGGATTTGAATCCTGTCTTCTACCTAAAGCTGTGGGACTTTAGGCAAGCTATTTAAACTTCCTAAACCTCAGTTTCCTCATGTTAACTAGTACCTTCCTGGTAGGGTTGTTGGGAGAACTAAATGAGATAATGCATGTAAAGCACTTAGCTAAATATCTGGAATATAGTAAACAAACAAACAAAAACTAAACTCATGCCATGGGGTTCCTTTGGACTCATAGTGACCCCTCCTTGGGTTTTCGAGGTGGTATCTCTATGGAAGTAGATTGCCCAGTCTTCCTTCCTAGGAGTGGCTGGTGGGTTTGAACTGCCAGCTTTCTGGTTAGCTGTCAGATGCTTAGGCACTATGCCACCAGAGCTTTGTAAGTAATATCACTAGAACATTTTTGTAAATTATAGCTCTTTTTATAGTAAATGGAAAGACCTAGTTTTGGTTTTAATCTGATTTTTCTTTCATTTCATTTAGTGTCTTTTTCCTTGGAGCCATCCTTGTAATAACAGCTACTTTCCTATATGGTTATGATCCCAAACCTGCAGGAAATCCTACAAAAGCATAGCTGTATACAATCTTTAACTAGTTTTTCAAGATGGTGCACTGGGAATTTCGACATTAATCTTGCACAGAAGACTTCCACAGATTCTGTGAAGATGTGATCATGCTGAATCTGATATTATTATTCAAATGGTTTGAAAATACAAAAGTTTAAAGATAAAATGTGTGTATATGTAACAGAAAGTCTGTTGTATCTATAAATCAAAACTTGAAAGTATTTCCAGGGATTAGAATCAGAAGGAGCTTGAAATCCAAGTTTAAAAATATTTTACATTTTTGATTGCTGCAGAAAAGCCCTATGCACTCTTTGCAAGAGCACACAACAAGTACCAGATACCAATTTTTACAAATCACATCTATTTAATCTTATGAAATGGTTTTTATCTTATTCTTTCTGTACAGATATATAAAACCACATGGAATATTAAAAGTTTGAAAGTTATTATTACGTACAAAACTGTGAAGAAATAGATGTATGATTTGAAAAAACATTTTCACATATCTGAGATTTTTATATTTATACAAAGGATTACCTAACAAAGGATGGCTAAATGTTATTTGTTAAACTACATAAAAATTGATGAAGTAACATTCTGTGTCTGACTTGTCAGAGAATAAAATTCATTTTTAAATTTAATGTAAAGAGATCCAGACATCTATTTCTCCATCCACATTTTAAGACCTTCTAATGCTTTGAAACTGTTGAAAGCAATCTAGATGCTCCTGTGCTAGGTAGTAGCCAGTGACTTTTACACAAATGGATTTTTGCCCTTAATTTTCTAGTTGCATTTCTTTTCTGTAAATCAGATAAATTCTTAATATTATTTTAAATTTTTTTTGTGTGTTAATTTCCATTAAGGTTTTAAAATATAAAGCGGTTTAGTACTCATTTAGTAATATAAAATAATTTATAATATCTCCATTTGGAGAATTTTGAACTGGCAAGCATATACTATACACAAGTAAAAGTTTTAAATGAATATTTTACTGATTGATCTGTAAAAAAAAAATTTAATGAACAACTATTAATAACCACCACCAAAAAATAGTATAGATGTCAATGAGTTGAGACCAAATGATGTTTCTTAAAGACCGTCCAGATTGACGTGGTATTACATTATTTGGAATGGCATTATAACTTTAAATAACTTTTTAGGCCTTCTATAAACCTTCTGCTATCAGAGTGCTCTGATTGATGTTGGGAGAGGCAATGAATTCTGAGTTCCCTTTCTGTGGCTCCTAGAGCTTCTTTAGAGCTGCTGGGAAGGAGCTACCTCTTTGCTTTAAAACAGTCATTTCTTTTAAGTATTTTGGTTATCAAACACTGGAGTTAAGGTTGTAAGTTACATGAGTTCTTTAATAAGTTGGTTCAAGGGAGATAAAATATATCAGAAATGGTAAGATGAATTAGTGGGCAAAAATGCTTTCTAAAACTGAAGTATGAGTTTAATTTAATTATTGACTATAGGTAGAATGTTGAATGTAAGGATTATTTAATTTTTTCATCCATACTGTATATATTTTTAAAGTCTCCTATTTTAATAAATATTAAAACTGAAAAAAAAAGACAAAAACTATTTTTTATATAGTTCTAATGGATTTTGTTTAACAGAATTTGACTCAAAAATCTTGCATTACAAACTATTAGATACTCTGCCTGATCAGGAACTGGCTTTGTTACCTTTTTGATGAAAATTTTGTCTTGCAGGCCTAATCTATTCCATCCAGCATTTTCAGTGTTTAAAGTTGCAAAGTATTTTAAATCAATTTACTAGTGATTCCAAATTGGCACAAACTAAACTTTCTGGGTGGCAGACTCATGATTTTCAATGACCCCTTTTAGAGTATTTGTTTTAAAAGTTTACCACATTTTAAACATGGTGTTTTTAGACTGCAACAACACTCAGACATATCTTATTACCCAATGCTAAATGATATCTTTGTCTGACAGATGCATAGAATTAAGACTAAAGATTTATGTTCAGCCACATTGATGTGCTGGTTGGGTGCTTATGTATTAAATCACTATGCATTCATAATTAATTGTTAATTCATATTTAGTCTTCCTTTTAATACTTAAAAAATAATGTAAGTAAATTATTGAATATTATACATGTTAGTTATAATGATAATTAATACATTTTCAAGTGTCCAAAATTTTCAAGATTCCCACCAAAGTTTATAAGAAATAATAAAAAGTTATGAAAAATGACAAAACATTCTAATGTATATTTTCAAAGCAAACTTTTATTAGATGGGCATAATTTATATTTTGCTTTTCTAGGAGATTTGAATATATGTAGTATTAAGAGAATAGGCTATGTAGTTCATACTTTCTAATTCATAAAGAAATAACTATATTTGGGTAGGTGGCCCTGTGTCCTACATCATGTCATATATTCAGTTGATGCAGTTTTCTTGTGCATTGATGTATGTTTTAATAGTGGTATAGCGCCTGATGCATTTGACTGCTAACCAGAAGGCTGGTGGTTCAAACCCACCAGCCCACTCCTCAGAAGGAAGATTGGGCAGTCTACTTCCGTAGTGATACTGCCTCAGAAACCCAAGGAGGGATCGCTATGAGTCAGATCCCACTCCATGCATGAGTTTGGTTTTTGGTTTATTCAACCTCCAAGGGCCTTATTATATCAATCTTGATAATGATGACTCCTTTACTATTTAAATTCCTAAACATTCTGGAAGTTTATTTGTTATTTATCATCTACCTTGTTCATTGTGAAAATGTGCTGACTCATGGGAAAAGAGTGCCAATAATGTTGTTGTTGTTAGGTGCCATAGAGTCGGACCTGACTCATAGCGACCCCTCCTTGGGTTTCCCAGGCAGTTATCACTACGGAAGTACATTGCCCCATCTTCCTTCCGAGGAGTGGCAGGTGGGTTTGAACCTCCAGCCTTCTGGTTAGCAGTCAAGTGCCTTAGGCACTATGCTACCAGAGCGCCAATGATAGTCCTAATAAAAATTAAAATATGGCATTGGTAACAAAAAGCTTGAAATGTTAACAATTAAATGTTTTGACACAGTAATATTATAGAATTCTTTAATAAGTACATTTAGAGAAGTCATACTTTTATGGTAGAAAATGTAGACTATAGATGCAAAACTTAAATGCTTACATAAATTTGTTTTGAATATCACAGAATTTCATAGAAGGAAACATAGTTTGTTATTTAAACCAGATTCTGTGGAGATGGAATTTGACTGGAAATTTTGAGTTTGTGCTCAGTATACTTACTGAATATTGATTGTTGTTAAGAATTGATACACTTTTCCTACATATAAATTATTCAGCTTTTAAAAATATTGTATAGCATTTAACTGAGTTTGTTTTTAATGTTGTTGTTGTTGTTGTTTGCCGTCAAGTCGGCCCCAACTCATAGCGACCCCTCCTTGGGTTTCCGAGGCAGTATCACTACGGAAGTAGGATTGCCCAACCTTCCTTCCGAGGAGTGGCTGGTGGGTTTGAACCGCCAGCCTTCTGGTGAGCAGTCAAGTGCCTTAGGCACTATGCTACCAGAGCTCCCTTGTTTTTAATAGAGATAAGCATTACTCACTTTGTTTACACTTTCTTGTGATACTATTTAATTACATATGGATATATGATTTACATAAAGATTTGTAAGTTATTTGCTATACTGAAAAGTCATCTTAAGAATCTCCAGGATATGTATCATATTTAAAATAATAGGACCAAAGAAGAAGCACCTTTATCAAAATCTGGTTCTATGCGCTTGCTTTGCTAGAGGCTATTAATATAATTCACAACTTTGGACACATGAGCAAAATTAGGAAATTTTAAGAATAACTATTATTCAGCTTTTTGGCTGTTTCAACATTTTCTCTTTAAGTATATTATCCAACAAAAAATTAAAATAAATATACAAGCATTAGTGACCTACTTATTTAAATAAAATGGTATCATTGCTCCATTGAGCTTTTTGAAACGTTTGACAGTTGTATACAGCTGTTATTTTGTTATTTCATTTCTTGTTACAATAATATAATTTATGGTGATTTAAAATATCTTAAACACTGTTTTGGATCCTGAATTTGTCTGTGTATTTCATTTGTTTGAAATGATTCTTTTGGGTTTTGGAATGTGATTTATATTTTTTTAATTTTTTATGGACATAGTTGAAAGGAATGTATGAACTGATCTTTTGTTAAATGACTTTTTAATTGATAAATTTCTCTTGTCATTTTTTGGTATCTAATTATTATATATTTAATAGATATATTCAAATAGATTATCTTTATAACTAACTCTATGTGAATTTCTTTATGTATTTCCTTGTTTCTCTTTTAGCCTGTGTCTGATCTAACTTACGAATTCATTTACTCTCCTTATGTGTATCTAAAAAATGAATCACTGGTCTTTTCCCTAACTCTCTAGTTCCTTTACCACATGTAATCATCCTTTTTTCTAGCCTCTGATCTGTCATGCAAGATTATCATTTAAACTAGGTAGAATTTCTGTATGTGTTTGATAAATAACAGCCTAAAAAGTTTTCTTTTTTAAATGATCTCTTTGCTAGCTTCAGGTTCTCTGGGTGGCAGTGTAAATGGTTAAGTGCTAGACTATTAACTGAAAGGCTGGCAGTTCGAACCCATCCATAGGCACCTCAGAATACATACCTAGCGATCTACTTCCTAAAGGTCACAGCCTTGAAAACCCTCTGGAGCAGTTCGACTCTGCACATGTGGGGTCTTCATGAGTCGAAATTGACTGGACAGCAACTAACAACAACAAGCTTCAAGGTTAAGTAATTAGAATAATTTGATATATATTTTCTTTATAATTTGAATATATTTGCTTCTTTTGTGACTGTTAATGCATAGAGAGCAAATATGATAAACCATATAAAGGATTTTATTCCTACTTCTATTACTTGAAGTATCCTTATGCAAAATCCTTTGTTTTAAAAGATCATTAAAATAAGAATCTCTGCATTTCTTAAAATGAATACTTTTCATTGGTTACTGCTCATGAAAAACACTAATTGAAAATTTTAATGTTATTTTTTGTATTACTTTTGTTAAAAATACATCACAATCCTAGAATCTTAGTGCCATGCAAATAGACTTTATAATCTAAATCGTTTAGGTACTACAGCATTTCAACAAAGTCAGAGATAGTTACTATTATTAATAAACATACTAGTTTTTCTTACTGTGCTTAAAAAGAAAATTCTTTCCAAGCAGGACTTATATATAGTCCCAAACCCAAACCCACTACCATCAAGTCTTGTCCAACTCATAGTGACCCTAGAGAACAGAGCAGAACTTCCCCATAGGGTTTCCAAGGCTGTGAATCTTTACAGAAACAGACTTGCCTCATCTTTCTTCCTCAGAGCAGCTGGTGTGTTTGAACTGCCTACCTTTAGATTACCAGTTGAATACTTTAACCACTGCACCACTTGACTTATATAGTCCATCGCAACAGCACAACACACTGCTGTGGCCCCTTCTTGGGTTTCCGAGGTGATATCACTATGGGAGTAGATTGCCGAACCTTCCTTCTAAGCAGTGGCTGGTGGGTTTGAACCTCTAGCCTTCTGGTTAACAGTCACATGCCTTAGGCACTAAGCCACCAGAGCTCCTTTATATAGTCCAGAAAAGAAAATAGCAAGCAGGAGACAGCCTGTCTTTAAATTCCAAGGAATTGAGTTTCTACCAGTTAAGGGCGTCTTGGTGATCATTTGTCTCTTTCTATGTATATGCATTCTCTTGAACTGCTAACACAACACGAGCAGTGGCAGTTATTTATGTTGTTGTTTTTATGTGCTGTTGAGTTGGACCCGACTTACAGACTTCTAATTTACATTGTCATTTTTAATTTCAAAATTTCTGTCAAATATGAACACAACAGTAATCTAGAGTAGAGAAACGTGTTTATAATTAGATACCATGCTAAGTGGCATATATAAAACCAAACTCACTGCTGTGGAGTTGATTTTGACTCATAGTGAC